TTGTACACTTGTGTTAGACCCAAAGCAAGAAAAGCTCCTCCGGAAGTTTATAAGTAGCGATAACCAGTACTTATTAAAAGATGCAGCCCCCCCTGTTTGGAGAGTGTTTAATATCAACGAAGATAATCAATCCAGAAAGTATGGACTATCTAGCACTTCGTGGCCAGCTAAAGACACGTTTTCCCTGAACCTTGATTGGGAAGAAAGTGAACTGATGGAGTTACTAGATGTCTTAAAGAAGTTCAGCAAAATCATACTCAATGTGGAAAACATCAACATATCGAATCCTCGCGGCCCTGCTGGTTTATTAGTCCTAGCCCAGCTCTTAACACTGTTCGAAACCCCAAAGTTGAGTGCTACGAAGAAACCTTTTGGGGTTCTTATCTCTTTGCCGGATATAACTTGCTCTTCTTTGGAGTCATCATTCACTGATGTCAAGAAACGAGAGCAGTTCCGAAACCAAATCGAGAAGATCGAAGAGTCGCGATACATTATCCGCATGGATATTTATGGACTCACATCAAATGCGCAGAAATTCATTTGGCCACTAGTAACCCATTTCCCAACCAAATTTATAGGTCTATTCTACCCCAATATGAGCAAAATAGACTTTCTTAACGATGTCAACTGGATAGACAAATTCATCCTCATGTTATGCCTAGACTACCAAAAGGACCTTATTGTTAGTTTAGGAGCCAGGACCGCGAAAGGCAAAGATCTCCCAACTTGTGATTGCCTAGATATTAATACTGACCTTTCAGACCAAGACCAACCGTCTAGCAGTTGTCTAAAGGTTTATGTTATAGGCCTTACTGAATACCTTCAACCCAATTCTTTTGATAAGGATGACAAGCTCTTAGACACTTCATTAGAGGTGTCCGATGACATTTTAGTATTTCCATGGCCATGAGTTGGATATGGTTCATTGGCCAACACCGACTCTATTAAAGACATTTCTTGAGACGAGTATCGATGTGATTTGTTAAATAAATATGGTTGTGTGTGAGGATGACGTCATATTGAATTGTAGCGTAGATATGTAAAACTAAATTAGTCGAATCAGATTGACTCTATTAAAGTTGCAAGGCGTAAGTAGATTATCAGTAATCAGGTTGATCTTATGGGAGCTAAATAGTGGTCGTATTGGTTTGGTATTGGGCTGGATATGTTAAGAACAACACTGGCTGTACCAGAGACCACACAAATAACTCAATATTTACAAGGAGTATATGCCAAACCTTTATATCTTATCTGTTCTCCAATAGTATCGACTGTAAAAGAGGGCAAGCATGTTTACAGGCATGAATAGCAGGTTATAATGGAATACACCGGTAGAGTACCCAGACAAAGTGTTTATCCCGCCGAAGATAGCTTTTATAGAGAAGCGGATAGACACCAGCCACCGACAGAAGTACTTGGATAGGATGGGCTGAGGTAGTAATTGGGTTCGTAGAAAGGTAAAGGAGTTCTCTATTGGGTTAGTATTTGGGTTGGTATGGGGCTATGATAACAATACTAAGAATAGACGGAAATCTGGTACTAGCTTTTACTTGCCGGAGCCAGGAATTATACTACAGAGGCTGGCACATACACTTGAGTAAAGAGGTGTACGTGTGGTTAGTATTGATTATTGTTAGGCATAGATCAAGATGAATTACTGCTAAACATCGATCCGAACAACATATTGCTAAGCAGTGGGTTGGTAT